CAGACTTCGGAGTGCACCTTGCGGCGTACAGATGGGCCTTCGAACGCTACACCGGAATTCCGCTTAGCGCCTAAATGTAACATATGGGACCCTAAGTAGTCGGATCCTTAAAAACAAGACCCCAAAGTACCGTATCCCGTATTTTCGGAAACTCCCATATAACGTACCCTGGAGCACCACAAGCTGAAAGGCCGGTGCTTGGGGTCTACTTCAAGGGCCTTTATGATTAGAATAGGGTTTTGGGGCCCATATATACACAATTTGGTAGTGATTAAGGCCCCCTAGATTAGGCATGCAGTCAGGGCCCTGGCAATCAGTAGCAGCAGCAATAGACCTCCGCCGTAGACTCACGGATTTAGGATTTAGGGCTTAGGGCACGGCGTTGGGCTGACGAGGTTTTGGAGCTCTATAGAATTTCAGTGGGGTTTAGGGCTGACCGTTTGGGGGTTTGCTGCCTTACTCGACATCATCGGCGCCTGCAGGAACGGAGTAATACCAATGGAGAGGAACAAGGCGTTTAGGGTTTGGGGCTTCTCAACTACGTGCTGCATAATGGACGCACCGCATTACAGTGCGCCGCGTCGGTCGTTGCGAGTTCGAAACTCACAAACCAGACGAGACAGGAAACTAAGTGGACAAATGAGAAGGCCCCTAAACCCTAAACCCATAGCCCTAAACCCTAAAGAACCCTGAAGGAGCGGCCGACTCTGAATCCACGTGGCAACAGTGGGCTTGTGGTTTAGGGGTTTAGCGGTTGGGGCTTGTGGCTTAAAGTTTAGGGGTTTACGGCTTCGGAACAAGTAACAGTATTGAAAGGGAGAGTGTGCTTGTAAGGACCGCAGAAATCCTTCATTCCGATCATTACAGCTCAAGCCGTAGGAGGCTGCCAGAACAAAGCGTGAATAAGTCTTCAATTCAAAGGATTAGAATAGAGCCCCTTAAAGCGATTGGAACCCTTGTAGTGACCCTACAGAGCCCTTGGAGCCTATACAACCCTGAATACTCAGTTTGCTGCTTTATGCGCTTGAAAAGAAGCTGGGTGCATCCAAAGAGCTGCGCCGAAGAGCCTGTGCCTGCGCAGCTCACGATGCTGCTTTGGTCTTTCAGAGTCTACACCTCTAGACACCAAACCATGCTGTAAACGAGAATAGACGCTGACCCACTGTGACCAGCATGGAGCATTCAGGCCAGGGGTAAGTTGTCTATGCCCTATTGTCCATCATCCGAGTGAGTGGCGTGATTTCTGCATATTCATGGCTCTTGTCTGGGGCAGCGATTGTCTCGTCTGTCTCTCAGAAAGCAGGCACGGCATACATGGAGCAGATTATCGGAATTTACCGGAGAGCCCTAAGCTGAAAGCTGATTCCCAGTCATTTTCCTTTTCAGAGAAGAATCCTGATTGCTCACGCCAACTGCCAACACTAAAAGCAAGATATCTCTGATGCGGACTGTGCTCAGGCTGCTTTGCATCATGTGTGTCCCATATAGGCACCATGTGTGTCCCAAATAGCCTTTGTGTTGGCAAACGATGCACACACCCCATGTCCGTGTCTATGGTGCGCTCCTGAAAGCACCTTCAGCGAGACTCAGATGAGTCACATCTGCGTGCACACAGTATAGACGTAGGAACGTCGTGCATGGGTCGGACTTCCGTTCAGCAGATACAGTAGGCGTCACATGATGGGTTTGAAGTGCAAGCAACTCCAACCTCTCATGCCCAGATTCCCGTGACAACGGCTGTCGTCGAGTTGACTATAGTATATTGGCATATACTATCCTTTACTATCATATACGACCATGTACTATCATATATCATGTGCTTTCATACCCTGTTTCGTACTTTCATCTGCTACAGGGTACTATAACATACTACTACATACTGTATTGTACTGTAATATATACTATAGTAGACCATCGTCTGCAGATGTGATCTTACACCCTGAGCCCGCCGGAACCTGAACACACACCAAACCCAAAGGTCTGCCTTCAGCTCAATATAGCGGGTTTGGGGTCTAGGAGGTTGAGGGATCAGGGTTTGGGGGGTGGGGGGGGGGGGTGGGTTAAAGGGTTCCTCATTCCTCTTAAACGGATTTGGGGATCTAATAATTAAAGACTTTCGAACTTGGTATTTATTTAGGCTGCTATACTATGCCAGGACCCCAGAGCCTTCCACTTCCACGAGATCTGCCCGCCTGCCAGCAACTCTCAAAAAAACGACGAGACTACTCACAGTCGTTGCGGCCTCGTTTAAGGGTTGCCCCTTAACCCTAAACTTGCAACCTTCGCTGACATACTACAGGTACCCTTGAAGTAAATTTTGACTTGGAGCCAGAAGGTTCAAGCCCAAGAGGCAGGCTCCTGAAGGCACTTGCGCCATGCGCATTTGCTTTCCGATGTAGCGGCGTCGCTTTCATGTAATACAGCAGACTGATGCCTTGATGCATGTTGCTACATGACTAGTCATATCCCGAAATCTCCTATACCGGATCTGCTGACTCAGCGGTTTTGCCTGTACTGCTCTTCTGCCATTCTGGTATTCTCCTTATGATGACTAGCATGATGGTGACCATCGCCGACGGGGATTTTGGAGGTGGTTCTCGCCAAATTCACTTTTGTTTCTTATCTTTCTGCATTTAGGTATGGTAACTACACAGGCGGACATGAGAAGGGCATCAAGGAAAACACAGGATCATGGTGGTGATGATGATCAGGCTCATGATGGTGACGCTGAACATGATGCTGCTGACGAAGATGCTGATAGAGATGAAATCGACGAGTTTGTTAGTGTACACTGGGTCATCTAGACATCTAGCTCAGACAGAATGTGGGGAGAGACATAGATAAGTAAATGCACACATACATACATACATACATACATCCTTGCATGCAGGCATGGATGCATACATACACACACATACATATGTACATAAATACGTACACACACACATACTTACTTACAGACAGACAGACAGACAGCCAGGCAGGCAGACAGACTGACAGACTGACAAGCAGGCATAGTACACACATACAAACAAACATACAAACACACATTCATACATACATGCATGCGTACACATACAGACATACATACATACATACATACGTACAAAAATGAACGTGTACATGCATACATACATACATACACACATACATACATACGTATGTGAATATATACACAGATATAGAGTTCACAACGCGGTTACAGTGTTTCACGGTGTCAGACATATGCGGCAGTATGTGCCATCATAAAAAGTTCTACGACGCTGATCATGAAGCACTGTAAAGCACGCTATGGCCACACACAGCAATGTGTATCATTACAGTTGCGAGCACTCTAAAAGTTCATATGCTTGCCGAGGAAAATCGGCAGTACCGTATCATCACACATACTGCGACAGAGAACCGAACGTTCAAAGCTTAATTAACAATATTGCAGATGAATGTGTGAACTTCATTTCAGTAATTACTGTACACGGAGTATGACATTCGTTCTGGCATGTTGCAGTCCCTGTCATGTTGCAGAAGGTTTCGATGAAACCGCGCAAGACTAAGATCTATCGTGCAGAAGCACACTGCGTGGTGCTGTAAAGAAATCCGACAGGGACAGTGTTTTAGGTCATTGTAGAACACCACACGGTACCTACATGCCCTTCAAAGCTTTAGGTTTCCATATGCTGTGAAGTTGAAGTTATTGCACGCGGGGTTGCACCATGGCCTGGAAGAGTCCTCACCGATGGGGTCATCTTCGGGCACGGTGCAAGCAGCCAAGATTCTTTGTCCGGCTGCTTGCGCTGCAAGGTGCTGCAAATAATACGCACATGTACTATCCTTGGCATACCTCCAAAACATTAAAACCGAAAAAAAAACGGACGTTGCAGCCAATGAGTCACAGTGCTGCTGGGATTGCACAGATGTAATGATCAAGGTGTGAGCTGAAGCCCGATGCCATGGCAAAGATATGGGCTTCGGGTTTGAGGGTTTAGGGTTCAGGGTTTCGGGTTTCCTGTTGCGCGTTTAGGGTTCAATCCCACTCTGATTGGGTCTGATGTGAAGATTTTGCCCAACCAAAAACCGCCAACAATCCTTTCACCTTCCGACTCCTTACCTTACATCTTATCCTAAGCTCCTAGCCCCCGACACCAGGCAATCTCTGTAAGCAGCGAACATCAGCACCCGAGTTTGGGGTTTGGGAGTTGGGTTTAGGGTTCAGGTAGGTTCAGCATTTCAGGTCTCAGGTTAGGCCCTAAACGACAAACCATCCGCAACGAATTCCCATCGCGTGCCTGTGCTTCAAGTTTGTTGATGGGAACGTATCCATAACTTGTCTCAGATCCGAAGAACAATCAGAACCCTAAACCCTAAACCCTGTTTTCAACCATCCCGCAGACTCCCGACCTGTGCATCTTGAAGGATTGTTTGTTGCTGTGCTTCCGGGCGTTCTTTGCCAGTACCTCATCTGAAGCTGCCCGTGAGACCCCTGATAGAGCTGCTGCAATAGTTGGTTTCAACGTGGACTTGCATTTTGCGATCGCTAACTACTTGTATGGCGGGATCGCGCAGAGACTGCAAGGGAGAAAAATGTTGGCAGCTGTTTGTCATTATTGTTGCTATTGCTATTGTTCTTATTGTTGTCGTTATTGCTATTATTACTACTACTATTGCTATTACGATTACTTTTACCATTACGACTACCATTACCATTACTATTACTATTACTATTACTTTGACTATGACTATGACTATTACGACTACTATGACTATTACCACTACTATGACTATTACTATTACTATGATTATGACTAGTTTAGTTACTACGATTGCTGTTTCTACTTTTATCAGTCGGCCCCTATGGTCGACCCTGAACCCATCTAGAAAAAGGGAGCAGGCCTTCGACTTCTCTCCGAGCACAGGCATGTCGTGGGTCTGAGCTTTCTACACCTTCTGCCGCTGAACTTTGTTTCAGGCGCCTTCATCATTTCTAATACGGATAGAATTTGTGCCTAAGATCTGTCGCAGATTTCATGGCACCTGCAGAAGCGGGTGCTCTTGTCCACGGTGTGCCCGCGGCTGTCGACATAGGTGTACCTCTGTCCGCTTCGAAGGCCTGCAGGGCAGGTGAAGGCGAATCCTGGGCTGTTGTTAAGGAACTCAATTTGGGAGTTTCCGACAATTAGGGGTACCTTATTTAAGGGTCCTTCTAATGAGGATCCTACTATTTAGGTACTATATTAGGATCCCCTATTTTCGGAAATTCCCATTTAAGTTACGAGTTCAATGAAACCATCCGAAAACTCTGGATCACTATTCTAGGAACTTACATTGAAATTAATTACATAAACCCATGATAGGATCTTCTAGTAAATAACAAGGCTTGCTTATCATGGTAACTTAAAGTAAACCCCTTAAAGGGAACTCCAGAAAGTTGGAATATGGATTAATGGTAGGATCCCCTTATAATTTACCTTAAAGGGGTTACGATAATGATATTCCAACTTTCTGTCTTCTACTGTAACAGGAACCCAGGAGCCGCCGAGGTGAGTCAGTTCATCGTAGCGGATGACGACGGATGGCGAGCTTGATCTTGATCCTCAAAAGGGGAAAAGGAGGGACCCTTAGTGTTCCTTTGAAGGGATCTCTAAGGGTTTAGGGTTTAGGGCTTAGGGGAGAAGGAGGGACCCTTAATGGGGACCCCTGGGTCCCTATAGTGGGCTATATAATGGGTATATATTAGCTATATTAAGGGTAAATATCTAGGGGTCCTTATAAAGGGTCCCTCCTTTTACCCTTGGAATTCCTGGCTCCCGGAAGCACTTTCCATACGTCTCACGCTTCTTGACATAGTAGCCCTCACCATCCGGGCAGCGCCTTGTGAACTTGAAGACGCTGCACTCAGTGGACTTCGGGTAATCCTTGACAAATGTCGGCACCTCTTCGTGCTTCTCGCAGGTCCGCGACCATTGATTCCCTCTCTCCCAAGTGAGGTTACGAGACGTTAACTCGCCCGGCAGAATTTCATACTCTTCCCCACCGGGAGAGTCCGTCGCGTACTTGAGTGTGTACTTCTTTGGTTCGGGACCATCGGAATAATACATCATTCTCCATGCCCAAGGAACATACGAAAAACCATACAACCGAACCCTCGAATAGTTGCCCCTAACGACAACCGGCTCTGTTGACAAGCCCGTGATGCCCGTCGGCAAGCAGCCCTCTTCTTCCTTCAATGATGCCTCGTCGCAGCAGCAGGCCTCCCATTCATCGTCATCTTCAATATACTAATAGCGACTGATGATGATAGTGGTAATTAGTTGGTATGAGAGTGCAATGGAGATCCAAAACCAAAGTAAGAAACTATGACAGGAAGATTGATGGCAATGCCGTCTGTGATCAGAAACTATGATCAAAATTGCTTTCTAGTGGATTGTGGCACTGACAAAAAACCTGCCATCACAATCAACGTAACCAAGAAACTTCTTCTACATGCATAATATTTTAAAAACAAGACAGCGGCTGCCTTCGTGGGCATCTTGCGAAGCATACACGGCATGACTGTGTCCTGCACCATCTCATCCCAAGACTTCGAGAATGCATGGGGATTCGGCATAGAGCGACGAGCTCGAGCATTCAGGAGGCCGCCCACAAAGGCGTGAACATCGGAGAGGTTATTCACAAAGGAGCCGTTGTAGTCTTTGGCCGCATAGATGTCTGCAACCTCAAATTCAGGCGGTGACTTCCGGAATGTCCGCGTGGTCAATGAGTTAGCATGAGCTTGGAGGTGCATGGTCACGTTTGAGACATAAAAGCCGCTGTAACCTTGTTCCCGCGCGCCACGGTTTGAAGTATGTTGCCCAACTATTGATTCGATTAAAAGAAAGCCGGTTCAAGCTCGAACAAGGCATCCGAGTCACCTACACGGCAACATGCTTCGCGGGGCACAGGGCGAGTCTCTTGAATGCACAGTGCGGAAGACGGCTGCCGATCATAGCCGAAGCCGACGGGGAAGGAAAGCATCGATGTCCCAGCGAGCTTGCAGCACCTTGGGCCCGCAGCAACATGCAGAAAGATTTGATGGAGCTGCTTTGTCTGCGACAGTCTTCACAAAGCGAGGCTTGGCCATCAAGTCTGCAAGACTCAGCGCAATAGTGTACGGCATGCATCTTACCGTTTTCGGGCCCAAAAGAAGCACCTGTAGTTTAGCTTCATGAAACTATTAAAGTAGCCCATTTTCGAGAGAAAGGGCCTTCTGGGTAACCTTGCCGGGATGCCCAAACCTTGAACGCCCGGACATTCAACTTCCCATCAACTGCAGAACACGTTGATGACTATGACGATGATGGTGATGGTGGTGATGATGATGACGATGATGAGGAGGAGGACGAGAAGGATGATGACGATGATGATGAGGATGGGATGATGGTGAGGATGATGATGAGGATGGGATGATGGTGAGGATGATGATGAAGAGGATGAGGAAGAGGAGGAGGAGGAGGAGGACGAGGGGGAGCAGGATAAGGAGGAGGATAAGGATGAGGAGGAGGATGAGGATGAGGATGAGGAGAAGGAGGAGGAGGAGGAGGAGGAGGAGGAGGAGGATGCTGGCGGTGGTCGTACTATGAACGGTGTTATGGTGACGACCATTGCTGCTTGCGGTTACTACTATTGTACCACTAAGAACTACGGCTACCGGCACCTGTACCACTTTTGCCGCCACCATTAGCACCAGCACAGACACCATCACCAGCTCCACAAAACACCACACACCAAGCACCACACTAGACCACCCACCACCATCCCCCACGACCCGCTGGCCACCCCTCGCCACCCCCATCACTGCCTCCGACAACCCCCCACCCCCCCACCACCCCCAACCACCCCGACCACCCCCCAACATGTTGAAATTTGAAGCACTCGTGCCGTCACCTTAATTGCTAGCCTGCCCAAATCATTGCGGCAGTTTCATCAAGATTTGCCACCACCACCACCACGACCGCGACCACGACTACGAACACGACGACGAAGACTGCTTCTGCTGATACTACATCAGTATGACCTGTAGCAGCATTGCCAGAATGACAGGAGACTTTTCTGGAACTTTGTTCGAGCGAGAGTTGCCTGTATGTTGGAGATGTACTGTAGCGGATAATCATCGGGTTGTAAGGAGGCAAAGGCACTTACTAGAACAGTTGCATCCATAAACGCGGGCGCAGTTGCAATAGGCAAGTTATGGCTGTCATCATACGAACATATACGAACCATCCACATCACCACGCCATGTTCATCTTCGTATCCATCTTCAATGCCATGTTGTCTCAGGATCTTGCTCATTAGCATCGTCGTTCTGTTCGTATGGTCACATCAAGGACAGCACAGATAAGAAGAATCAAGAACAACCCTGGTCGCAACGGTGAGCAGACTAACAATATTGCTACGTAATCACCATAATAAAGCTCATGATACTAATATCGATTCTTTGCTATGTTTTGCTATGATGAAGATGAATTCTCAGTATATACTAATCTTTACGTGTATCACGGTAACTACAATAAAAAGATAAAACAGCTGCGAGGTACAAGCTCTCCTCTCCATTGCTGGCACCGTGGAACCAGCGAAGACGTCGAGGCTCTTCTTCCGAGCCATCCCTGGGTCTTTCCCACGGGTTTTGGGCCTGGGGTTCGGGGTTCAGGCCTATAGTTCAGGGTTTAGGGTTTAGGGTTTAGGGTTTAGGGTTTAGGGTTTAGGGTTTAGGGTTTAGGGTTTAGGGTTTAGGGTTTAGGGTTTAGGGTTTAGGGTTTAGGGTTTAGGGTTTAGGGTTTAGGGCTGAAAGCCTAGGGTTTGGGGTTATAGGGGGTGTATACCGTGTGCGTGCGGTGGGTGCGTTTCATAGGCGCACCTACTTATCGCGCACTGGTGTCGGCATGTAGCCCCGCCCCAACCATTCAAACTATTCTCAATTAGGGTTTTGGGTTCACCACCAACAACCGCCCCTCAAGAAAGATGTTCTTGCTCTTTGCTTCCCTTCGCAGTTCTGCATAACATGAGCGTTTCACAGCAAATCAGAGCTGAGATGGGTTGGTGTCGGGTTGTGGGTCCCAGCGGCCTGTGTTGGCCGTTCGACGACAAGCAAGGGCGTGCAACAAACAACTTGCCCCTCGCACTCTGTCGGGGTCGCTCCAAGTGTAGACCTACCCCTGGCACGGAAAGCCCTGCGCGGCGGGCCTGACCCAAACCCAAAATTCGCAGGTCGAGGCCCCGGTCCCTGACGTCTCCCATGGCCCTGCCCGCCGACTCACGGCAGAGAGCGGTGTCACTACAGTCAGGCTTTTGCCTCCCTGACGAGACGCTCGGCTGGGGACCTCGGTCGGAGCCTCGAGCGCCCATGCAAATGGCCAGCGGCGCTCTCGCAGTTCAGGGTTTAAGGCCCAGGGTTCAAGGTTTCACGTCCAGGGTTTGAGATTAAGGGTTTAATGTTGAGGGTTCAGGGTTTAGGACAATGTAAGACAACAAGGCCAAAATGAAGACTGTCAATAACCCAGACGGTCTATTCCTAGCAACGTTTAGACTTCGAGAGCCCATCGTGCAACAGGACACGTGCAACACTGGTTTAGGGTTTAGGGTGTAGGGCTAAGCCATGGCTAAGCCTTGGAAAACCCAGAAGCCCAAACCCAAAACCCGCCTAAACAATCACTAGCCCGCACGGCTTGGCCATGTCTGCTTGCGCCTTTCTGTCCGGGAAAATGATTTGGCAGTCCGGCGGTTTGTTTGATAAAGCTTCTGCTATAGATACCAGGTATGTAAGGCTCATGCAGGATGGTAAGGTGAAGCGTTTCTAGTGAACAACAAGTTTGGTGCTTAAAGGGTGTAGGCTTTAGGAGTTTCCCTAAACCCTGAACCCTATATCTTTTCTTTCTCGTGAACGGGTTTGTCTTGTCTGGTGTGAAACTTGGGCGTGGACCTGCATGCCGAATACGCAAAGCCCCAAAAAAAGCCTCTAAGCTCTGAGCGTGAAGCTCCATACTTTAGGTACGGCCCCACTCAGTAATAGTTGAAGAATATTCATCATAATATAGATATAGTAGGACCTTAATAGTAGCCCTATTATAGACTCTTACTGTATGGGGGCCGCACGTAATCCATACTCCACACCGTGAACCCAGAACTCTAAGGCGCCATGCCAGAAGTTCGAAGCTCAAAACTGGGAGGGATGATATGGGAGCTTCCGAAAACTTGGGGCACCGTATTTGGGGGTCCTTATAATAAGGATCCTACTATTTAGGGTACCACATTAGGGTCCCTTATTTTTGGAAACTCCCATATCTGAACTTTAAACTCAAAGCCTCTTTTTATTTGGAGCTGTCATCTGAACCCTAACTCCTAAACTCTAAACCCTAGACCCTAAGCCCTATAAACCCTAAACCCTCGACCCTAAACCCTACGAGTAGACCATAAAGCCTATACTGAACTTAGAATCCTAGCAAAAATTATCGTTTTAGCTGTTTGTTAGGGATTATAATAGCCAAAAATTAAAACTATTTCTAAGTACCCCTAGGTAAACCCCAAGAGTAGGGGCGCGCCCGAGCCCGGCCTGTCCGAGCAGTCTGCGACGGATCGGACCTCAGGGCGTCTCGAGCTCGTTGATAATCATACGAATAACAGTAACGCATAATTTAAAGAACGAGTAGTCATAATAATGAGTATGAATAACCAACATCATAAGAAGAAAAGGAATAAGGACAACAATACTAACAACTGCAAGGGCGGGGTCTAGATGCTTATGGTTCAAGGATTGGGGATTGGGCTGCGGCTTTGGATAATAGGCAGGGGGTTGAAGGTGGAGGGTCCAGAGTTTAAGACCTACGGTTTAGGCTCTTAGAATCAGGCAAGTCCTCTTTGCGTTTCACAGAGAAGAGGACCAAATTCCTGCAAGCCAGAAAGCACTGAAAGCATACTAACTACTACTACTACTACTACTACTACTACTACTACTACTACTACTACTACTACTACTACTACTACTACTACTACTACTACTACTACTGTCTCCCATATCACTCCTGCTTATTCGAGTTCCTGTTCCTGCCATTGTAAAGGCACCAACGTTACCACTGATACCAAATGCAGCTACTACGATTGTCTGTACAAGTGTCCGAGAGTCTAGAGAAAACATAAGACACCTTACTCCTGATCTTCTTGCCCGGGGCCTTCTTGCAATAGCAGCCGAGCCCTTCATCCCAGCCAGGCTCGAGCGCGGGCGGTGTCGCAGTCATGTCCAGGCGGGCTGTCCAGACCGGGACGCTGCACAAGAACGGCAGCAAAGGGAGCATGCCGAAGGAAATCATGTTGCGTAGTCTTTTGCAAGGAACGGCTACTTTTGGAGGCTTAAGCCGGAGACAATGAAGAACAGCCTGCTGGTGTAGGCTCCATGATATCACGTCGGCTGCCCGACTTTCGGCTCAATGCCATTCCCAGCGTCGTGTTCCCAGCTCGATTTCAGAGATCATGGTTTCATGCCACATTGTTCTTCTGCTTACTTTTATTTTTACTGACCTTGTTGCGACGGTTATTATCATTCTGAGTCATTTATCTAGCAATTTACCGCTTCACGTTTAGTTCTGGGGCCTCTTGGGCTTCGCAAAGGTAGCAAAACCCAAGCTAACAGGCTCTCAAGATTGACAAGCAGGGAAGGATGAACAACAGAGATGCTACAATGGTTCGGCTGCAAGTACGTATTGATTGCCATAGCTGTGCGCAGTTTGAGGCATACCATGTGGCATAACGTGCTGCTGTCGGGCAGCGGTATACCCTAGCCTTTCCCTGAAATGGGCGAGGCTAGGCAGGTCTTGAGTCCGGTCTGTCTACTGATTTTTTCCTTTTGTTGCTTACCTGTTACCATTGTTTTTGCAATGATTATTGACATTGTCTTTTTAAAATTTTAACAATGTGCAAAAGAAAAATATGTTTCCAGCTTGGTTTACTGCACATTGGTTCTTCCGACCGACAGCAGAATGAATAGCCTGCTTGTGCAGTAGGCTCAGTAGGCTCCATGATGTCAGGTCGGGTGTCCAACTTTCGGCTCAACGCCATTCTCAGCATCATCTTCCCAGCTCAATTTGGGTGAAACATGCAGCTTCAAGTTTGATTCTGGGCTCTCATGGGCTTCGAAGAGCTATCACAGCCCAAGCTACCAGCCTCTCCAGATCACCGTAAACCCTAAGTCCACAAGACATGCCGGTCAGGATTGGCCCGCAGGGGAACTTGTTCGAGGAGATTCGCAGAAGGATGAACAAGAGAGGTCTTACAATGTTTCGGCTACCAGTATGCACTGTTTGCCATGTTGGGCTTGCAGTGCGCCATATGGCATAACGTGGTCTTCAGGCTGTGGTAGACTCTAGCCTTTTTCTGTTCCCAAGGCGCACTCCTTATCGTAAGAAGTGTTTAGCTTGGCTTGTGGCATAGCATGGGTATGTGGCCGTGATATACTCTCTCTCTCTCTCTCTCTCTCTATATATATATATATGTATATATATATATATATATATATATATCTGTGTGTGTATACATATGTATATATATATATATATATGGAAATATACATCTATATATATATATATATATATATCTCATATTCTTTCTGGCTTAAGTCGTCGCAATGTGGAGTGCGGCAGTAGCGGCATTCAGCGGGGTTATTCTCATGCCATGGCCGCTGTGTATCACAGACTCAGAGGGAGTGCCGGTACCACAGGAATGGGATCGCAGTCTCCAGACCACCTCAATCCAATCTTGGCTCTGGCAGGCCCCGAAAACAAGCCCCTGAGAGGGCGAGGCTAGGCAGGTCCTGAGGCGGGTCTGTATTATCGTGACGACCATTGTGATTCGACTATCTTTGCGGGTTGCCGTTGCTATTACAATTTAACAATAACAGTAAATGCTATCATTATTCTTACTTGTTCTTATTGGTGCTTGGAATGGTGGGCTCTGGAACGGAGCCTGAAAGGCTCCGAGCCCCCCTGGCTGGATGAGGCTGTGAGGTAGAGGTATTTTGGCATTTTCCCTTCCACCCCTCCGATTCGAGGTAGGGTTGGCTTTGATAGTGTGGTTTTTTTTGAGGTTTATAGGGTTTTTATAGGGTTGTGGGCCTGGGGGTTTTGGGCGGGAGGGGACCCGAATCCAACACAACTAGTTTGCTAGTTCAGGGCTTCAGCTCTGGCAGAATTACAGAGCTGCCTGCAGGCTGCTTATTGTCGCACTTTAAGCATGCGTGAGAGGGTTTATTTCGCAGCATCCCTTCAGTTTTGTAGAAGCCTAAACGATTACCAATAAGCCTGAAACCCGTTGCGAAATCAGAAGCCGGACAGCCCTGGATTTCTTCAGGCCGAAGGCGGGCACGTCCTGCGGCTGAGCTTTCTATGCGCACTTCGTGCTGCACTTGCACCTAGGGGAGTACTCTGTGGTGAATTCCGTGCCACTGCGATAGCCTTGTGGGCACTTGAAGGACAAGCCGGCAAAGCGGGTCAATTCTCTACTGTACTCTTTTCGACAGCCAACCCTGGTTCCTGGAAGCAATCTCCCTCATTTGGCTGTTTGACATACAAGCCCTCACCCTCCGGGCAGAGCCGAATGAAACTGTACACGAGGCACTCGGTCTTGTGTTCCCGAAAGGGAACATAGTCATGAGCACGCCGTTTAGTGGGCAAATCACGATAAACAACTTTCGGTACTTCCTCCTTTTGATCACAGGTCCACTGCCATTGAGTCCCTTTTGTCCAAGTGGACCCTAGATACGAAAATGCTGATGGCAGTATATCCTCTTTTGTTTCTGGACTGGGGGAAGAAAAAGTGATTTCCCCATGTGGCCAGTGCCTAGGAATCTCATAATACGTTATCTCTCGTTGAGTGATTGAATAGTTGCCTCGAAGGACAACAGGCGCTGCTGACAAGCCTGTCACGCCCGTCGGCAGGCAGCGCATTTCTTCCTTGATTGAGGCCTCCCAGCAGCAGCAGTCCTGACGATCATGATCATCACGGGCACAGTTGCAGACTGTCAGCAACGATGGAAGCGGAAAGGCGAGAACCCTTGTGAACCTGTGGGAATCCTAAGTGACAGACGATGATATAGCAATTATTGCTGGCAAAGTTGATTGTACTCAGGAAGTATGGGCACAATCACGATATAACTGGAAGTAACGACAGATAAAGACTTGCGATAACAAGCTCTACTGCAGGATTATAACTGGTCTCCTGCTCGGGCATGTGCCGGAGCGCGCAGGATCTCGTGGTGTCTTGCACCAGGCCATCCCAAGGCTCCGAACATTTACCCTGCCCCTTGCCAAACCACTTCAACACAAAAGCATGAACATCGGAGAGGTCATTCACAAGAGCGCCATCATAGTCTTTGCCCGCATAGATGTCTGCAATCTCAAACTGAGGTGCTGACTTTCGGAATGTCCGCTCGGTCGCCGAGAGCACTTGCACTCTGAGGAACATGGTCACCCTTGATACATACAAGCCGCGGTCACCTTTACTGCTCTGGAGCACCAGTTACTAGTTTGCCCAGTTGTGGACTCCAGTTCCATTCAAGGAAAGACTGTTCAACGTCAATCGAGGCACCCGAGCCGCCCAGGCGGCAACATGCTTCACTGGGCACAGGCCGGGTTTCTTGCTGGCACAGAGTGGAAGAGGGCTGCCGGCCATAGCCCCTGCCGACCCAGGAAAGCATCGATGTCGAAGCGAGCTTGCAGCACCTTGGGCCCACGACACCATATGGAGATTGTCTGCGACAGTCTTCATAAAGCAGGCTTGACCACAAAGTCTGCAAGACTATGTGGACTTCATGGAAGAAAACTCCTTCTTCATATTGTGACGCGATCTATGACAGATATAAGGCAGCCAAATCCAGAAGAAAAACATACGATGGCACCTCTAGTTTTTGAAGACTGAACAGAGCTCCTTTTCATGCTGTGATACGAACTATGACAGCGTCTAAACCACACTCATAGACAGAAGGACCGGTATCGCTTTGTCAGGATATGAGGGAGGTGGCTTCAATAGAAACCGATAGAAGTCTCACGCCTCTTGCCCGTTTAATACAAAGTACCAGTAAACAAGCTTTACTTTGTCTGCTGATCACATCTCGGGAGTGTCGGTGAAGATTGAAGAGAGCTACTTTTAAGCGTTACGTTCTATGACAGCGATTAGAGAAACAGCCATGGACATAGCGATCGATATCTTCTCCGGGGTATAAGAAAGCATCAACAACAGTTCACTGAATGCAAACTCATGTCTCATAGGAAACCGCATAGGAAGTTCCCATTTTTCTGATGACAGCAACATGCAAACAGTTTCCTACAAGTCTTCAATACAACATAAAAGTTCTGGATAAACTTGCGCTGCCCTGGGCCAACATAAACTTAATTTGCTGATGGACTATGCAGAGAAACAGAGTACCTGCTACAACAACCAAGACCACTTGAAGTGCATTTTGAATAATCAGAAAATATTTTGCTTCTTGGTTCACAACAGCTACCAAAGCAACAAGACTTGTGGCTATTCTGCAGATGTTGTGTGTTAACCATGCGAGTATGCAGTATGCGAAGCATAGTCGCTTCTCACAAGAGTAGCAACCATACCACACTGCCAATAGCCAGGTTAAGTGCACGCATCATGCAAAGATCGACAATCAGCGGCAGCAGCGGCTGCAGAAGCATCGACCTTCATCCCCATCTGTACATCACACTTTCTACTAGTATGATCTTCCTCATCACTGCCGTCGCCCTTCACGTATAACCACATGACAACGTGACAGCACTGATAAGAAGAAAACCCGTGGTCGCAAGCTGAAGCCGCGGTTTAGACGAGGCACAAGGGATCGTTCCCATCGCTGGCTTGGTGGAACCAATGGAGCCGATCCGGTTTGTCGTTCGAGCCTGCCCTGGTTTTTTGCAGAAGGCGGCAGCTCGAGGAGCTGTTGGAAGGAGAGTTTCAAAAAATCTGGGGGTCCGAATCTTAGGCCCTAAGTGATATGATCCTTACTATAGAGGTCTCTAATCTCCAAGGGACCTCAAAGGGGTCTTCGTGAGCATAAAATGAGTTGCTTCAATATGCTGTGAGCCCTGTTACCCGCAGTTAGCCCAAGAAGGACCTTCACCCATCATATTTGACTCCGATGACATGTCGGGCAACCTAGCGCTCGAGTGGTGCAAGCTCGATGCTTCGTGGAGGGTTAGAGGCTTTTGCAGCATAGTAGCCGCATAGTACGTGGCTGTGGGTAGGTATCTCAATTAAGAGCCCTTTTCAGGTCCCAGAAAGGGACCCCATTTAGACCCATACAATGGCCCAGTACATTCGACATCACTGCGGCCTCGATGAGGCCCTAAACGTAAAAAAGAGTAACAAAGACACGCGGTAGCATCTCTTGGTAATAACAGCACTCGTAATACACGGAAGATGATGGCTAGCATTAGCAAAACTAGAAACCATGCAAGCGCAAGCTCAAGCTCAAGCTCCCTTAGGCGTAGCTGCGCTCTCGAAGTTGAAACTTTCCCTTGAAGGTTTCTAGGGGCTCATGTAAGGGATCGATAATAGGGTCATAGAAGGGCCGAGGGTTTGGGAGAATGCATCGCAGGACGGGAAGGAAAGGCTTTAGAGGTGAGGGAAGCGGGGGAAGAATCTTAGAGGGGGTACGCCGGGCACGCGAACTTAGGATCTCGACTACGTAAAGCTACGAACACTAAACCTCAAACTCAGGCCAGGCCCAAAACCATGACATCCAAAGCAATCGGGAACAGTCATGACCCTAACATACACGTAAGCATCTGTGGCGGAAAGCTCAACCCAATCCCGGCCTATCCGTGCAGTCCGAGTCAGATTTGACCTCAGGGCTTAGGGTTTATAGGGTTTAGGGTTCTTCTGGGGTCAGAGTGCAGGAAAAAACTTGATGGTTTCATGTTTAGGGTCCAAAGCTCAAGCCAAATGCTCGGCAGTGTGTTCCAATATGGTCGCAGAAGTTAGGAGAAACGCCGAAAAGCTCCAGTGTGTTTGTAAGTTCTGGGGCTATTCCAAGCCCAAGCTACAACCCCTAAGCCTTGCAACGTCTAACGTCTGAATACCATCTTCAGCCGTACCGCCGTTCTTACTAACATTGTCATGACCATTCCCTTCTCCGCGGCTTCTCGATGCGACTGCTACTAGCTATTGCGATTAGAATTGTCACTATTAGCGTACCAGAGTAAAAACACACCTTGCTGCTCCTGATGTTCTTGCAAGAGGCCGTCTTGCAATAGCAACCGAGCCCTTCTTCCCAGGCAGGCTCGAGGGAAGACGGTCCTTCCTTGGATGCTGCAGTCACCTCCACACGGGCTGCCCGGACCAGGACGCTGAGAAGGCACGGCAGCAACCAGCGCATGCCGCAGGGAATCATACTGACTATCGTCTTTTGCAAGGAACGGCTAGTTTGGAAGTCTTGGGCCAGACAGCATGACAGCACGGGTCACTGCATCGACAGTGGAGTGGAATGCTCCTTGGTGCACCAAGCTCCATGCTAACACGTAGGCGGCCCCTCTCGGCTTCGATACTTCGAAAACCCCATCCCATCACGGTCTTGCCACTTCGATTTCCGAGACCGTGGCTTCATGCCAAGGCAATACGAAGATCAAACTTAGGTCTTGGGCGCCTCAAAAGCTCGAAACAAGGAGCAAATATGGAGAGATGCGACAGAGAGGGCCGGGCATTTGGAAGTGCACCAAAAAGCCGTTTCAAACAAGGTTTAGGGTTTAGGGTTGAGGGTTGGACCAGGTCTATCAAAGGCATCAAGCCTGTGCTTTCCAGGTGTGGGTATTCAAGGGCAGGACGAAACACTGAGAGATGCAGGTTTACCCTCACAGAGACACGACCGGGATAGGTAGTCGAGGATTCCGGATGTCAGCCCGGCATGATATCGTGAACAAATATACCGTGAAGCAGAAGGTGCTCAGACAAGCTCGGGGTAAGTACCTAAACCAACCGGGATTCATGGGTTCCATGTAAATTGCAAGGATGTTGGTTTTCTCGTCCTTAGTCGGGTTTATAGTATGTGCCCCTCGACCCTAAACCCTGAATCCTAAAGCCTATCACCTAAAACCCGAATCCCTAATCCTAAACGGGACAGAATGTCGGACAGCACGATTTTTTCCACAGTGGGGTCGCTCCCTGATTTGGCTCAGGCACTTTGCCAAGATGAATAGCCTGCGAAGATGCAGGAGTGAAGCGATTCACGGCTGGAGCTTTGGGTTTCTGTGGCTTAAGGATTTTGAGGGTATATAGCAGATGCGGCATTTGACATTCAAAAACGACCGAGCCCAGTGAGCCCAGGGTTCTGAGGCAAACGCTAGCCGCAGTTAAGGCGCTTAGCTAGGCTTTTGAGTTGACCAGAGAAAAAAAGCGGATACTTTTTTTACAGTTTCAGTGTCTCAGAGGGGATTATGGAGGGCAGCTGTTCAATGCAGGAACCCCACCGATGACCTCAACCCTGAGTTCTACATTGCAGTGCAAGGCGAGACTATTTTGCTGCCGCGGTCGAAGTCCGACCAGCTGCCCGGCTGTGCCTGCAGAGACCGGAGCGGTGGCTCTGCATTTCAAACGTCAATGGCATGCTGCAATTTATTAAAGCACTGCAGTTAACTAAGCTTGATCCAACAGATGCCCTAGTGACCTGATTGTTAAAAGTCTCCTTCTGGTTCTGATTCCCAGGCTGAAACTGCAAATATGAAACCAGATCACCTCAACATCTGCCCAGGCAAAACAGCTTGTCATGGGACTGGAAACCCTTGAGACCAAAACCGCAAAACGTCGTTAAGACTGACTGAAGACTGTCGTCGGGAGCCGAGGCGACCTCGCCTTGGGAAGGCGTCCGAGTTCGGTGACGAGGGCGTTGGCGCGGCGTGGCGAGGGCTCAGCATGGCTTTCGACCTGGTTTCAGTATTTGCCGGCTTGGTTGAACGTTCGGGGAGCATGTTGAACCCTATGTCCACAGTTAGAAAGTTTTCTGATGTGGAGATAGCTGACCAGGTTATCCACAGTGCGTTCGAAATTCCGGATTCTTGAATCCTATCATCCATCCTTGAACCCTAGTAAATGTGCATGCTCGGACCCTCAGGCTGACACGAAGTATGCTTCACGAAGATCAGGCTCTTGACACAGGATTTCACAAAGGGAGGAGTCGGAGTCTAAGTCTACATCCGGACTTATTGCACAAAAGCCGAAACGTTGAATTTCCAGAACCGCGAGAGTGGTTTTCGGGTCTACATGCGAAGGGCCTTTTGGCTCAAGGCAACTAGCTCCGAAGCCAGTGTCTCGTGTAGTGGTTCGCGTTTTATGGCTGAGCGGGTGTTCGTGCGTTGAGGATCATATGGGCACGGTCTCTGGACATGTCACCTTAATAATGTACTACCTAGATACTTACCGGGTCTTCGTTATACAATTTAGGCTTCTCTTCGTGAAGGCCTTGTGCT